AGGGTGAGGGGGGTTGCCACACGCCTTCCCTGAACTCCAAATGAGGATTTCCCTTTAAATGGTGTTTTTCAATCAGGGGCTGCCCACACCTGAACTCCAAGTGGCAAAATCACTGCTTGGAGTTCAGGGAAGGTGAGTGGCCAGCAGCCACCCCTCTCCCTCACCTCTTGCAAGATTTAAAGGGCCCACTGATCAGCTGGAGAGCCCTTTAAATCTTGGAGGAGGGGAGGGAGAGGGGCGGCTTCAAGATTTAAGGGGCCCTCAGCTGATCGGCGGGCCATGTGCTCCCGCTGATCAGCTGGAGGGCCCTTTTAATGTCACAGGAGGAAAGGGAGGAGGGGGAGAGGGGCAGCAGCTGTTGTGTGGAGTGCCTCACATTTGAGGGGGCAGAGCCCTAAAATGACCCACTGTAGCTATGGGCCTGAATACAAACAAAGCTAAAGGGATGGAGAGTTACCTGCAGGTCAATTTCACTACACCTTTCCTAATCCAGAAGAACAGGTCAATCTTCCATCAACATTTTCTTTCCCTCTGATGTATCGAATGGGTGTGAAAATCCATCGCATCCATAGTTGTGGTTTTAATGGGGAATTTCAGACAGGTGCTTTCTCCCGGTAGGGAACCGATTCTCAACCGGGTGCTGGTCTGTCATTTCAGACAGAACCCGGTTGAGAATCGGGTCCCTACCGGGGTGAAGTGGCCGGTTCCCTACCGGGATGAAGTGGCATTTCACACAGGGAAGCCTCTCTTCCGATTAGGAACCGGGAGGGAAGCATTTTACCTGTCAACCGCTTCCAAGGAGGCTCCCGTTCCCTCTCCCAGTTCCGATACGCTTCTTTCCTGCCTTTTTTTCAGCCGCGCGGGCTTTTTTTTTTTGAACGTTCGGCTTATATCGATATATCGATATAACGCTATACCGATCCCATTGGAATACTGGTATATAGATATATCGCTATAAGACGGACTTTTTTTTAAAAAAAAAACCATGGGGAAACAAAGCGGTGCGTGTGTGAAACGCCGAACCGCTTCTGAATCGGCTCCTTTCCGGTAGGGGCAAGCCGTGTGTGAAATGGCAGCCCTCTACCGGTTCATCTGCAAACGGAAGACTCCCGGCTTGAAACCGGGAGAAGACGGGTAATGTGAAATTCCCCAATGTTACGTAGTGTATAAAAATCCAGAGGAAGCCAGGAAGTCGACAAGACTTTAAAAAAAGAAAAAGAAAGGAAAAAGTGAACGCGAGGCACAATTTTGCTAGAGGTAACCGAAAAGATATTCTTCATTTATAAATGGTTCACTGACCCATAATAATAAAGCAGTTCTGCAAAAGGAGGGTAATTATCTGCTTAAGTGTCAGACACCCGGAGGTAAAACCTTCCTTTCGTTCTTCTTGAAAAATGAACTTGGATTAAACAAACGTCCCTTTCCCAGTTTTTTAGTGTTGACATGAATTTCCCCTCCTTTTTATGAACAAAATTAATTAGATTTTTCTATTCTTTTCTTCCTGGTATGGAAATCGAGACTGCATAGCAACTTCCTTGTTTTCCCCTTGAGCTCTCGGTTCGACCAATCACATCCATTATGAAGGCACTTTCAATGGTACTCTGGAAAGACTAGCAAATAAATTACTAGAGCTTTATTAAGCCCTGCAGCTCCTTACGCTCCAGGCAGAGGAATAACCTCTCCGAACTGAAAGAAGAGAAGAAATCCCTGTAGAAAAGAACCTTATTGTTTTCGAATACCTCTTAGGCTAAATAAATGTGCACTGGTATGTCCCAGATGTTTTCTGATGGAGTTTTAACTGGCTGAGGAACACAGTCTTGAGAGATCTAATTTTCCTAATCAGGGTACCTAAAGTGCTCCAGCAAAAAGGCCTAATTATGCAACAAGGGGGCTCGAATTGTAGGCCCCACAATAAGCGTGAATCAAAGCACATTATCATTTGTGAATTAAAGCCATTATGGCACTTGATGTCTTGGCCACAATCCAATGCAGAAGTAAACGTGTAAACTCCCTGTACTCCCAGTTCTGATTGCTGACGTTATAATCAGGGATAAGCAAACTTTCCGATCTCATTTCTTTTTCTGTCCATTTCTATTTTTGACTATGACTTCAGTCCATTGGGTTTTATGTCTAGTGTATATACATGTGTTATGGTTTTTATAGGGAGCGATGATGGCATTTATATGAACATATATGACGTATATATGTCATATGATTTATATTGTTCATATGATATATATTGTTCCCTATAAAAACCATAACACATGCATATATGTACATACATACATAAATGCATATAACATACAGTGCTGATTTATTGGCACACATATGAACATAACATATGAACATGTTATAGAGCAAAATCAGTGCAAGAATGCAGAGCATTATGAAAATAAAGAATCATGGGTTCAGTTCTCATGAAGGAGCTGTAACAGTAGGAAAGAGTAGGCGTCCAGCAGCACCTCAAAGACCAACACAATTTGTGGTAGGGCATGAGCTTTTGCGAGCTGTAAAATCTGGTGGGATTTTCTATTGCATTTTTATTCCACTGTCCTCCAAGGAGCGCAGCATGGCACACATGCATGGTTCCTCTCCATTTTATCATCGCAACAGTTCTGTGGCTAGGCTGACATACAGCGACTAGCCCAGTGGGTTCACAGATTTAAATAGAGGACTTCAAAGTCCTGGTTTCTGTCTGAAATGACGGGAATGAGAAGTTCACATTCATTCCTAATAGTAATATATAGAACTTTGAATTTCTCACTGAAGTGATGCAAATGTTAAATAAGTATTAAGTATTTAATTAAATTATTGAATAAAGTTATTAAATAAAATTAGTACATTCACTAACTCATCATAGGTTTATACTGGAGTAATTGCGCATAATTTTGCTGTCAATTTGTTCTCTACTCACAGATTAGAAATTGGGGCCTAGACTCTATTGTGGACAAGCCACCTGTTTCCCATCAAAGTTTAGCTCCTTCTGATGGTATATTTGTGAATGATCTATGTATATCTCTTGACTCAGGCACATTTTAATGTCTCTGTCTGCGTTTTTAAGCTCTGAGGGCCCAGCTGTTCCTACCAGGCAAAAAAACTCAATGGATGTTCATAGGCAAGTTGGGCATATAGTTTACAGCTTCATTTTCTCATCTGTGAGGGAATATCTTGTAAATGCTAAAACAGTTTCCATAAATGGCCTATAAATGATCAATAATATCCTCAAATACTCCTTTTGTCCTAACAAAACATTTGCTTTAGTAGATTAATGAGCTCATTAGGTCTATCTGAGCTGAAAAAATACCCAGAAAATATCATATCATTATATATCAATTCTTCTTACAGCCAGATACAGAGGTGGGTATATTTCCAGCTATTGAACATAGCCAATCCTGAATAATCCCTCCCAAAATTCAGGATTTTCCAGGAAAACAGGATAGCCACAGTTAAATAGCATTTAAAAGAATACACTCCCATTAAAGGCCACTCCAGGTAAAGCTGCAGCTTCATGAACACATTTAAAGGTACCGTGACACCATAAATGCCTTTGGCTCCATTAGAGCCTATGGGGACCATTATAGTCAATGATCCCCATAGGTTATAATGGGGAATCTATTTGGGGATATGCGGGGGTACAGTGCCACTGTGGCAATGCCAGCTCAACAAATCCAATTGGGGGGTTGCAAGCCTAGCACAACCAGTGCATGTACAGAGTGCCCAAAAGAAGCAATGCCACTGTGACAATGCTAGCTCAACAGGTCGAAGCAAAGGGAGGTTCCAAGCACAGCATGGCCAGTGCATGTAGAGAGTGTTGAGCAGTACCAGTGCAATATACTAGTGCCCAGTGAAACCCAGTACCTTCCCTTAAATGCTTTCTTTTCCCTCCATTGAAAACAATGGAGGATGGGGGCACCTTCTTTGGACACTCTGTACATGCACTGGTTCTGTCTGTGCTGTACTTGTACCACCAACACCCCACTTGGATCTGTTGAAATGGCATTGCCACAGTGGCACTGGTTCTGTTGGGCACTCTGTACATGCACTGGTTCTGCTGGGCTTGGAACCCCCACCTTCAGTTTCTACTGTAGAGACTCTCTGGTTTGACATAAGTCCTGGCTTTTCGCTGTTTTTCCCCACCACTGGAAACAATGGAGGATGGGGGCACCTTTTGGAGGCCCATAGAATTGGATCCGCTGGTCCAATCTTTTTGAAACTTGGAGAGGCTTTTGAGGAGGGCACCAGAAGCTACACTGAAATTTTGGTGCCTCTACTTCAAAAAACAGCCCACCCAGAACCAGTGTTTCCTCTAAGCTGAGTTAGTGTGAGCTAGTTTTTAGCCTCCAGCTCACACATTTTTGTCTTAGCTCAGGAAGGATGGCTCCAGAGCAAACTAATTATGCAGTAGCCAAGTCGCTCACACAACTTTAATGCCAGTAGCTCACAAAGTAGAATTTTTGCTCACAAGACTCCACAGCTTAGAAGGAGCATTGCCCAGACCCCTCGATACCCCCAGATAGATTCCCCATTGACTATAATGGTCCCATGTGGTCCCATAGGGTATAATGGAGCTGGAGAAAAAAGGATTTATGGGGGGGGGGAATCTGAGCACCATACTGGTATTGGAATTCAGGTTTTTCAGGAATCCTTAATTTTTAGGGTCCAATATATCCAAATCCAAAAAATCCTGATTTTTTTGGTGGGCATGCCCCCATAGGATACTCTTCTTGAGAAATGGTGGTTCCCGAGTTAAATCAACAGAAAAATACTTATTGATTTTCATCATAATTTTATTGTGTTTCTTTCTCTTTTACTTTTTTTGGGGGGCATACTGCACTTCTCAATGTTTACTGGAACCACAGGCTCTGCTTTTTGTATGTTGATAGAACTGAGTGTAAAGAGTTTGGGTTGGATCCTACCAACAGTTTCACTCAACCTCACTCCATGTATTACAGCTTCTGTCCTAGGTGGTTGTTATCCATTCAAATCCCATGATGCCCAGTATGGTCTGGTGGGTGGCCAAAAAGGGGGACCCCTCTCCCCTTTTGACTGGCAGAAAAGCTAGTAGTATCCAACCCTTTGTAATAACTTATTAGTATTGTGCAGTTGTGCCTTAACCGGATGCAAATCAGATGTTCTCATTTGCCCACTCCGTCCCGTGGAACGTTTCCGTGACCTGCACCCTGAAGAAGTGGCTGATTTATTCTGCGTGACACAGCGGGTTGGGAACGTAGTAGAGCAACACTTTGGTGGAACTTCTCTCACCATTGCAGTTCAGGTCAGTAAACTCTTTCCTCACCCACTCTCACAATTGAAAGAAGTGTTTGGGGGCTGTCTCCCATGCAGCTGATGGCCTCGAGTCCCTTTCAAGTCCTTTCTCTAGACCATCAGCCTCAACAGTAGTGTTTTGCTGTAGAGCTACATTTGTGTATTAACCACTGTTTCCGCATGGAGAGTACATATTCAGGCATTACAACTGGTGAGATAACAGTGACTCACCTCAATCACCCGAAAGCTGTCAATGCATGGGGACAAAACGTCCCTGCATGGTGTACACTGGCATCCCTGGAGATCGCTAGCAAACATGAACTGACCCTTAGAAAATACAAGAGTTGAGGTACACTCTCTTGTTCCTCTGCTTGCAGCTACTGGCCCCATGTGAAGCGGGTGGGAGGTGCCACCCCTGCAGTCCAGCTGCCCAAACTTCTGAACCGGGTGGGCACAAGCAGCCACCACCATAAACAGGCAGGCATGTGTGGGAGGCAAGGGGCATGGTGCCACTGTTGCTGACAGGCAGCCTCAGCTCTGTGGAAACCTGCTCTCTCTCCTTCCCCCTCCATTGAGCTCGCTTTGCGGGGAGGGCGGGATAAAATCCCAATAAATAAATAAATAAAATTGAGGGGGCCCTTTCCAAGGGCATTTTTTTTGTGCCTCCCAGTCTACCCCTGATCGCTGGGTGCCAGGTGGCAATCAGCTGTGAGGTGGTTAGAGGGGAGTCCCCTACTGTGCTACAGCTGATCGCTCTGGCCACCTGCCACAATTTCAGAGATGACAGAGAGGCTGGTGGTGCTGGCACTTTAGCAGCTGGGCAGTCGAGAGCCCTCCTGTGCAGGTGTCCCCCAGGAAGGGGCCCGGGGCAGCTGTCCTGGTTGCCCTGGGGCTAAAACCTCCCCCTGCCCCAAATCCATCCACATTGGTGATGCGGCTTGAACCCAGGTGTTCTAAGCCGAACTGCTCCCTGCCACGGTACTACCCTTGCTCCCTTTTAAATGGTATATTACAAAGGAGTGCTGAATAAACAGTAAACCTTTAGGATATGTTTAGATGGTAGGCAGACTTTAAATTTTTTTACTCAAAAATTGGTATTTGTTGGCTATGCATGGCCATGACTAAGGCTCCTCCTTGTGTTCGCACAAGGAACAGAAAGTTGAAACAAGCTGTTTGCATCATTCTGAAATTTGGCAAATGTCTTGTTATTTACTTACTTATTTTTTTTCCACTTTGCCCCCCAAATGGGGACCTGAAGTGACTTACACATCAGTCTCCTCTCCTCCCTTTTCTCCTCACAACCACCTTGTGAGGCAGGTTAGGGTGAGAGACAGTGACTTGCCCAAGGTCACCCAGTGAGCTCCCGTAGCACAAACCTGGGTTTCCCAGATCCTACTCAAACACCCTAACCACTATACCACATTGCAAAGGTATGGATTCCCAGTGTTTTGTTTTGTTTTTTAATTCGCATTTCAGTTCTGCTTTAGAAGGTAGAATTCTTGGCTAGGATATAAATTTTGCAAGTGAAATAGTACAGTGAAAGAAACGTTGGTCCAGCGGATGATATGTAGGATTTGGATCTGGGAAATCTGTGTTCAGATCCCTGCCCATCGTATGCCACCATTTTTACTCCTCAGTTCTCCCATCTATGAAACGGAAATAATTGTAACCACCTTTTCAGACTATGGCTCTTACCATAAAATATTCTGCTCATTAACAGTAATACCACAACAACAACACTATCAGTCTCTCAATATAGGCATCAAATTTTCAGTCAAAATGTCTGATCTAGATATCAAAACACTGCTATCCAGCTGTTACCAGGGCAAGCATCACAGTTGCATGGTCTTTCCTGGCCAGGAATGGCACCCCTGGCCACCACTGCTACTTGTTTATCCATCAGAAGGTCTGCATCCAGCAGACTCCCAAGCTATGAAGAGGCGCCTTTAGGGGCACCTCTAGAGCAGGAGATACCCCAGTTCCTGGGTCAGACCTTCCGCCCACCAGTAGGCCCTCCATTTTGTCAGGATTAAGCTAAGACTTAAAGGGATGCTTTAGTTATCACTGAAGTGATGCATGAACCAGCATTCACTTGAGTGCAGGATGCATTTTACAGTTAAAGCTTTCGCCTTGTGTATCTCCAAATGAAAACATCAGCTTTTGTTACTCTGTGTGGTTAGAAAAAAGCGTACCCTAGAATATATATCTCCTGCCAACCTAGCAGTTCAACAGCAAGAAATTGCAAGTAGATAAATAGGTACCACTTCGGTGGGAAGGTAACAGTGTTCCATGTGCCTCGGCGTTTAATCATGCCAGCCACATGACCGTGGAAATGTCTTCAGACAGCGCTGGCTCTTCGGCTTGGAAACGGAGATGAGCACCGCCCCCTAGAGTCGGATTCGACTGGCTTTCGAGCAAGGGAAACCTTTACCTTTCCCTTAGAATATATCAGCGTGAATGGAGCCAGCTTTCCAATTTGAGCCTAAATCCACACTAAAATACCCTGAGTGTAAGGAAGAAAATCCTCCTTCTGCCACCCCTCATTCCTATACTAAAGGAATTTATGGTGTAGGATATACTCCTGGCTTGAGGAAACAGGTCTGTTCTGGGCAGTCATTGACAGTTCTGGGCAGTCACGGACACTCTTTTTATCGTTCCAGGCAGTGCCCCATAAAATAATGGTAAGGGATCTTTGACAAAGTGGTGAGACACCTCTACAAGGTGGAAGGAATATTGAGAATCGAGATAGAGTGGAAACAATAATAAGATTTATTGAGGGAAATAACACAGATATCGTGGGCAGCAAACTCACTCAGTAAAAACAAGGCCAAGTACTCAATAATAACACCCAGGACTAGAAACCCATGTAAACAGACAATCACTCATCGCATCTCATGTACACACAGGAAATCGCCTTATACTGAATCAGACCATTGGTCCATCAAGGTCAGTCTTGTCTACTTGGACTGGCAACTACTCTCCGGCATCTCAGGGCAGAGGTCTTTCATGTCACCTACTGCTAGTGCAAGTTAAGAGGGAAGTCAGGAGTCCAAGCTTAAAGCCAGTGTGTGTGAGAGAGGTGGTTATAAGCAATGATCTGTGCAGGTCCAGGTTAAGGCTAATTTCCAAAAAAACCCAACAGAAGTCCCAGTATCCAGGCAGCAAATAATCCAAGGTAATTTAAACAGGATGCCTAGCAGGGTTGTATGATTTTTGTCAATGGGAAGCTTCTGCAATCACAGACTCATGCAATGTGAAACCAGCCAGAGCACACACACCACCAATGTTCCCTCTAAGCTGTGGAGTCTTGTGAGCAAGAATTCTACTTTGTGAGCTATCGGCATTAAAGTTGTGAGTGAGCGATTTGGCTACTGCATAAATTAGTTTGCCCTGGAGCCATCCTTCCTGAGCTAAGACAAAAATGTGTGAGCCGGAGGCTAAAAAATTGTGAGCTAGCTCGCACTAACTCAGCTTAGAGGGAACACTGCACACCACATGCACTTTGATATGGGTACAATTCTGCCCCAGTTAGAGGACAGGAACCAGATCCAGCAATAAAAGATTATTTCCTTACCAGGATTAGAAAGAGGGAAGGGGAAGGGGAGTGATTTCGACACGCAGTTTATTTGGATTGGGGGGGGGGGAGTGTGTTTCAGGTCCTGCGGATAAATCCAAAAAAGTAAGGCAGTGGAGGTAACCAGGTGGGTAAAGGATGTGTTTGGGGGCAGACTACCACCTGATCAGAAGAGTGGAGCCTTAGCAGGCTGTTTAAACAGTCTAAATTAGATCATGATAAGGGCAGGACTAAGATAGGAAAAGCTTTCTTTGAGGAATGCTAATACGACAGCTTCTTTATGAGGCTAAAAGGTACACTGATTAATCACTGAGTCCTTGATTAATGATCGGATGGTGAAAGACTAAGTGAGGTATGGCTTCATCCAAATACGTCCTAATCTTCTACAGTTAGCATAATATGCACATGAAGGTGCCTTATACAGAATAAGGCCCTTTGTCTATCGGGGACAGTGTTGCCTAGTCCGACCGGCAGCAGCTCTCCACCATCTCAGGGGGAGGTTTTGCACATTTCACATCCCTTCCAACTTGGTCCTTTTCAGTGGAGATGGCAATGATTGTACCTGGGAACTTCTGCATATCAAGTAGATGCTCTACCACTAAGCCACACTCACACTCTTATGATGACATCAGGCGAGGTTCCTCTTCTCTGCTTGCTTTTTTTTTGGAAATATCTACAGGCCTTGTTTCTTAGGCTCTTGTGGCATGCAGAGAGGAGGCAGCTTCAAGGTGGAAGGGATGAGCAGAGAGACAAACCAAAACGGAGGCTTGTTGAAAACAACCTCCCACTTGGCAAGGGATATCACAAAGGTTTGTTTTATGTTCTGTGGTGCCGTTTAAGGAATGTTAGTGGCACTGCCCCTCCTCCTGCCTTTCTCACTCCATGTGGTTATTTCTCAAGAGTACACATGTCTCTGGCCAGGGGTTTCCCCACATTGTTATTTTCCTTGCTTGCATGTTCCTGATGCAATGGAACCCCCCCAATTTCCACACATGTTTTGCTCCCTCTAGTGGTCAATTTGATATTACATCAGTGTATGTCCAGCATATCTCACTGCAGATTTAACCTGCAGCGATGTAATGCCAAATAAACCACTACAGGGAGCAAAACACCCGTGGGACAGAAAAAAACAACAACTCCAAAGCAACAGGAACACAAAAGAGAGGATACAAGAGAGAGAATACAGAACAGACCCAGCACGCAGAGCAATTATTCTTAGAAGCAATTATATGGGAATGTACATTTGGTATGGATGTCAAAAACACAAATCCATTTGCTTAAAAAGAATCAGTTGACCTGTATTGATAACATTGTTTTAAGGCATGAAAGTATCCACAGTCAATGCATTCAAGATACTTTTCTGTTTGGTCAGAGGGCCCACTAGCACAGTGGCATAGCCTTGATAGAGCCCGAGGTCAAATCCTTGATTGATTTCAGACTGGGACAATGGTCTGAGTCAGTATAGGCCTCTTCATGGGTTCAATTTAACCTTGACTAAAACTAAGCATGGGCCCAGTTGCAGACATTGCCTCCCAACAGTCTGCCCCTTCCCTGTGAATTCTGAAATAGCACCTCTTTCTGGACCTTGGGAACAATGGTGAAGGACACGGATCAGATGGTCACCTCTGGGTCCCCTGACCTTTTGTTAAATCCATATTGTGCAGCGAGGCCAATTTGCCAGCACCATGTATGCAAACAGCTAACTTCTGTTTTATAAAGAGCACCCATAAATCTTGGGAAATGTCAACATTATTGGGAGCATCTGTGATCTCAAATTCTGTGTATGTGTGGGGGGGAGAATAAATATGCCAGTGTTTATCTCCCTTCAGCCTCTCATTTCTCATTTGATCGGGACCCGAAATAGAAAGGTGTCGGTTCCCAAGCGCTTTGGCACCAAATGGTACCCAGGAGAGTGCTGTAAATTAATGCACAATGAAATTGGATTTAAATTATTAATGGGCAATATTTCGGAATACCCAGGAGAGCTTCACTGGCTGCTCTGATCTCCATCTCCTTTGTATGTGTGTGTGTTTGTCTTTTCTTCTAACAGGATGGTCCCGAAGCCGGGCAGACTGTGAAGGTGAGTGCTTATTTTATTATGCAGAGTACAAATTAATAAGAGACAATTATGAGAACTAATAAAACCAGTCATCTGCAGCGCATTTGCTGCATTGCTGTTTTATCCTTGAAGCCGGAGGAATCCTGAATCTTCTGTGACTGTAAATACATTGATTGCCATGGGATGCTGCAGTATGGTTCCCCTTCACCTCTTTCTGTGTCAGAAGTGTGACTTTTTCATTGGTAACTGGCTCACCTCTACTCCACAGGGCGGTTCCCTCTTGCCTGCTGCTTTGTCTGAATTTGTGGTAGGGAGCTCCCTCCAAATCCTGAATTTAGGCAAGAATATTAGTACCACACAATAGAAGAGGAGGCCCGGTGGATCCAGCCAAAGGTCCATCCAGTCTACTGTTTTCAAAAAAAGTCAAACAGATGCCTCTAGTATCTGTGGCCCTAAGAAGGCCATGGATGCAAGAGATCTTTGTTTTATGCCTGGCATCCTGATCTCAGTATATTACCTCTGGACATGATGGTTCTAATGATACTCTCATGGATAATAGCCATTAATGCAGGGGTCTCCAACGTGGTGCCCATAGGTGCCATGGTGCCCACCAACCCCTTTCTTGGTTCCCACCAAGTGTTTTTAGAATGTGGGCAGGGCCAGGTGGGATTTCTGCCCAGCAAGGGTTCTGATTGGCCACTGGATATTTGATTGACTGTGCAGATTTTTTTTTTTAAAAAAAGACACTGCTTTGGTAGTAGCTGCCACCACAGCACAGGGCTCTTCACTGTGCCAGCAATTTTGTGGCTGGCTCCATCTCCTGCAGCAGCCATTGCCACCATTCTATGTCAGAATCCCCAAAGGGGACCCCCTGCATTAATGGACCACAAATTCAAATTCTCTCTGTGTGGACTAGACTAGAGACCATAACTGAATTCTTGTGGTGATTAATTTCACAAGTCAATTATGCTATGTGAAGAAGTACCTGGGGGGAGGGATCTGCCCTTAAATTTCCAATCAATTTCACTTGGTGATCTCAAAGTCCAGTTATTATGAGAGAGGGAAATATATTTTCTTGTCAGCAATTTCTGCCTTTCCCCAGCCACAAAGATCCACCTCTCCTGCAAAAGTAAGCATCTCAGCTAATTTGTAAGCTGGCTCGGTAGATGTCTGATTCACACATGTAAGCATGTCACTCACGGCCACGTGGCTTGCTTCTGGATGTATGAGCTGCCTTCTCTGCAACAGGGTTATGTTTGCGATGTTGTGAGATGAGAGGAACAACCTGTGCATGATGTTTGATCTGTGACAGAGGTTTCCTTAAAGCAAGTCAACACCGTCTCTCAAAGCATGGATGTGTGAACCTTGCTGAATGACAAATACTTTCAAGTGAACCCACCAAGGGTTATGGTAACTCAACGAATGGTAGGGAGGTGAGGCAAAGCAAAGGAAAAGGAGGGGTGGGGAAAAAGTAGGATGATGTCAGGTGAAACATGATGGCAGGCACTAGTTCCGGAAGGGTGTGTGTGATGTGTCTATACTCTGACAGGACAAATGAGTTGCTCTGGGAAGCATATGTAGGAAAGAGGCTCCAGTATTTGGGGCAACCCGACTGACGGCAGAACTACATGAGGAAGAATTCTGTGATTCATTTTCCAGACATATTTTAGTCTTATACAATGCAATTCCTAGGACTGAAATTTAGAGGAAGAACAGGGACAGAAGAGGTGGGCCCATTGGGGCCCTACCAGACTCAGCTATCTCCAGATTCCTCCTACCTCGCTTACCACCAGTCTGGGAAGGGGGTGGCTGACTGTTCTTTGGCTAGTCTTTCCTTACATTTGTGGAACTCTGGAGGCTCGTGTTTCCCTTAAGTCTAGCACTTCTTCTTAAGGGTATTGATGGGAGGAGTCCTTCATGCATGGAGGTAACCTTTGCCTCTGAAGAAACAATGGTGGAGGAGGTAAGGACAGTTTGACTGGCCTGGTCAGTGGAATCGATATGAATCCATTAACCCATCAGGGTATTTCAACAGGGACCTTCTCACTGGCCAATGAGGTACCATGCTGGTTCTTGGGCTAGGTGGATGGGTATGGTCTGGCCTAAGCTAGCTGGGCTGCTGCGTGAGGGGAAACACCTTTGTGGTTGGGGAAGAGTCCTACTTCCACCTCAGCTACACTGTCTTCTCATGGTCTGGTATTCTCCATTAAATCATAGCCCCCCAGCGGTGCCTTCTACCAGATTAAAAATGGTACATTAAAAGGATCCCAGAATGACATCCAAATTCTTCTGTCACTGTCCAGTCCTGTTACAGCCTTATAAACCCCTGGACTCAAAGAGGCTCCAAGAAAGGCAGGTCCCTGGCTGCAGTCCCTCTACCCAGCTGCCATGCTTGTGCATGGTAGAAATTAGAGATCTGCTATTTGCTGCTCAGGTTGCTGGGAACAGCCAGGTAGTCAGTCAGCTTATATGACACCAAGATGAGACCCGTGTTCCCTCTAAGCTGAGTTAGCACGGGCTAGCACACAGTTTTTTAGCCTCCGGCTCATTTGTCTTCGCTCAGGAAGGACGACTCCAGAGCAAACTAATTTATGCAGTAGCCAAATCACGTGCCCACAACTCTAATGCCCATAGCTTACAAAGTAGAATTTTTGCTCACAAGATTCCACAGCTTAGAGGGAGCATTGGTTGAGACCTTTGTACTAGCCATCCCTTTGTTTCAAGGTGCCAGTTCTTAACTTTAAAAGGGGCCAGTTCATGACCCACGTTTTGAAGGATCTCTTCCCATGAACTCATGTGTCAGCTGCGATCCTCAAGCCAGGTTTTGTTCTCTGTCCTTTGTGCAGATTGTTGTGGCTCATTCACCTTCTTTCTTGGTGGCAGCTAGGGTTGCCGCATTCCTACTGACAGTGGGAGAGCTCCCTTCCCCCACTGCCACTGCCTGCTGCCACTGAGCTAGGCAGCAGGAGGAACGAGTGGGGCAAAACGAGGGCACAATCAACATCCCTGGCATGATGATGCAACATTCACCCAGAAGTGATGTCATTGCATCAGGTGGCACTCTATCGTTTATCCAAAACTCCATAGTTAAACCACAGTGTTTGGTGCAAATGCTAAAACATCACTCCCATCATGATGACATCACTTCTGGGTCACACAGGAAGTTGTGTCAACATGCCATCCCAGCTCCCCAATCTCCCGCCAGTTGCCAAGGAGCTCTAGTCTGTAGAATGACCTTCCTAGAAATGTGAAGAAGGTCCCTTCTTGCCTTGCTTTATGGAAGAGTTGCAAAGCCAAGATCTTCAAAGGGGCTTATAGTACTGGGACACAGGGACACAACTTGAAATGCAGGAGTTCGTTATTTGCTTTTTAACCATACAGCATATACTTTAGGTTTTATGTTGTATTACCTACCTTAGGTCCATATTTTAGCTAGAAAGGAAGGCATATATTTTAAATAACAAAATAAAGTCCAGGGTTCAATGCTGCTGGTGGATGAAAGACAAAGTTAGGGATACTCTAAAGCTGGATTGGCCTTTGTGAATTGTACTTTAAAAACCCATTATTCCAAAGACACGTAACAGGAGAGGCAATGTTAAGAAAGACCACAGCCCTGCTTGCCTGCCTGCCTAGACTCAGCATTCTAGTCTAAATGTTCCTCAACATGGCCCTGCCAAAAAGACAATCTGCTCTAAAATAACCACAGACTCACTGCAGTGATGTTTTCCTACCAGAGGCTGTCTCAGCAGAAGTCCAGGTGTCAGTGGCACAGTGCTTAGGAAAACAAAGGGGAAAGGCGGCAAGCAGGCGCATAGCTAGGATTTTGTGACTTGTGGGGCAACTTTTTTCTCCTGGTGGGTGCAGTACAGAAAGAAAAGCCAGAATTCGGAGGATTGTGACTCAGCTACTGAGGAATCGAGCCTTTTAAAATTAAAGCATAGAGGCTTCTGCAGATATTAGCCCCAGAGTGTGACAATAGCAGGCTGAGAAGGGTGGGAAGAGAGAATACATTTTCTCATAGATGGTAGGTGTGGCACTGGAAATACTTATCTGGGTTTGGTCAGTAAACTCATTCCACTTTGTATAAAAACACATAAAACTTTATTTACAAAAACAAAGGCCAAACAACTGGGGAAAGTATGTATACAGTTCAGCAAGGAATGCAAATTTTATCACACCTTATTGTTTTATTGTATTTTAATTTGTCTGTATGCCGCCTTGAGCCAGCTCGCCCGGCAAGGCAGAATAGAAATGGAAAGTAATAAATAAATCTAGCTGGCTATTCTACTCACTACTTTTCCTAACAGGCGCATAACTCTGGCATTTCAGCTAGCGTTCCTGATGACCAGAGTCTCTGGAAGCATAGCAGCAGTGTGGAAATTGAAGAGAGCTGCAAGGCAGTCTCTTCTCTGAGTCATCTCAAACTGTCTATTCTACCTAGGTGTTGTTAACCATTTAGCCAATAGAAAGCTGTTACCAGCAAAGATCTCTAAATTGCAAGCTGTCAACCACTTTAGATGACAGTTCTCAGCTGCTTCAAGTTAATCACTTCTGCCAGCCTAAGCAACAGTTCTAATAACAAGCCAACAGGTGGGGGTGATGACTTCTGTAGCCAAGAAAGCTAACACTTAGGCAGAAAAACTCTCTTAAAGGAGACCAGTTTCTTGACACAGCTTTAGAAGGGTTCCTAGAGGTCACCTACTCCAACCGCCTTACTCAGTGTGGAAATTAGTCAACTACCACACCCCAGTCTGCTTAAAGGAGCACACACCTTTAAAAATGTTTTTAAATGATTGAAAAAAGCATTTACAGGAGAAATTCTTGCAGGCTGTGCCTTTAAAAAAGGGAACAGAGCCCCCCAAAGCCCCACCATTAGGATTCCCAAGTACCTACTGTGTTTCGGCGGGGGAAACATGCTCCCTGGTCGGACTATTTCTCCCTGTAACACACCATGCCGTCGCCAGGAAGTGATGCTGGGTGACTCTCTGGCAATGGGGCTGAAAACTTGATGGTACCATCGA